TGTGAATGCCATCGATAGCGGTATGCATCCCATAATTTGTCCGGTGTAGAGGTAAGCGCAGCATATGATTGTTCCGTAGGGCTCTGGGTTGGACATTTATGGCGATATCCTGCAGAACGGCGGGGCAATCGATTCTGTTCTGAAGAATGTCTACTACGAACAAGGCTCTGGATACGTTTCGTCTAGACCGCAGGGTCTCCAGATTGATAAGCTGACAGTGGCTCTCGTAACTGGGAAGATGATAAGGATCACGCCAAGGTAGCCTACTCAAGGCAAATCTTACGAACCTTCGTTGTACAGATTCGATCCTTTCCGAGCCGTTGAGGTATACTGGATTCCACACTGCAGAACTGAACTCTAGAATTGGGCACACTAAAGAGCAGTACAGCGATTATAAACAGTATACGTCAGTGAAGTTCTTAGCTATGGGTATGATGTTCTTGATGCTTTATCAACAATGTACGATACGTGTTGCTTGAAGGAAATTTGGGTATCCAGTATAACTCTGTTTTTTTTCTCATGGTCTGGCAACAGTACTTTGTGGACAGAAATGATGTCTTCTAGACAACAGGGCTTCATCACAGTTGAACCTCGGTATTATTTGAGAAGCTCGAGTGCTTAAAGGCTTTAACCAATTTTGACTCAAGTCTTCGCTCAAGTCTAGTGATTCTAGTTTTTCGTTAAAGACTTTGTAGGTTTCGTTTTCCGTCCGAAAATTCCTTACGGCGTACCAGAGATCGTCAAGCTTCGGGAAACTTTGAATAGGTTACCCAATGTTTCGTCCATAGCAGAGTTAGGTAGTTAGCTAGTAGGTCCAATAATCTATTAAAGTGAGGGCAGATTCAAATTATAAATAGTTCGTATATTGACGTCTATTCACGAATTATTACAGCTTTCCTCCAAAATTTTCATCTACATCTACTCCACATCTAAGCCATACTTCACTGCCAGCGACCCAGAAGATATCGGATAGTGAAATACCGTACCACCGGAATCCTTACTTACCTTACCAATCAGGCTAAGGCCTTGTTGTCCTCTACTGTCCGAAGAATTCGTCTCCACTCTACTCGATCCATGGCCACATTTCACCAGCCTCGTAGTCTGCGAAGGGTCCGCAGGTCGCCTTCTACTTGGTCGATCCACTTTGCCCGCTGCGCGCCTCTTCTTCTTGTTCCTGTTGGGTCGCTTTCAAAAACCATTTTCACTGGGTCGTCGTGCGGCATTCTTACGACGTACCCAGCCCACCGAAGTCGCCCAATTTTTGCAATGTGGACGATGGATGGTTCTCCAAGCAGCTGGTGCAATTCGTGGTTCATTCGCCTCCTGCACGTTCCGTCATCCATCTTTACTCCACCGTAGATGGTGCGCAAAACGTTCCGTTCGAAAACACCAAGGGCGCGTTGGTCCTCCACGGGCATAGTCCAGGTCTCGTGGCCGTAGAGCGTCTTGTAGATAGTCAACTTCGTCCGGCGGCGAATTTTATTCGACCGGAATGTCCTCCGGAGTCCAAAGTAGGCACGATTCCCTGCCATAATGCATCGTTGAATTTCTCTGCTGGTATCATTTTCAGCGGTCACCAGTGAGCCAAAATAACGAAATCGTCGACCACCTCGATTTCGTCAACGTCAATCTGAACTCGGGGTGTGAGGCCCTAGATCCTCTTCCCCTCATGTATTTCGTCTTCGATGCGGTAAAGTCCAATCCACCTAGCTTCAGGCTTCAGCCTGATGTACGTTTCTGACCATCGTCTCAAAGTTCCGTGCCATGATGTCGATGTCATCGGCGAAGCCAAGAAGCTGGATGGACTTCCTGAAGATCGTGCCACTCGTGTCTATCCCAGCTCTTCTAATCACACCTTCTAATGCTATGTTAAATAGCAGACACGAGAGTCCATCACCTTGCCATAATCCCCTTCGAGATTCAAAGGGACTCGAGCGTGTCCCCGATACTCTAACAACCCACATCGAGTCTTTAAACTTCTCCTTAACATCAGAAAAATTGCGGAAATCATAGTTTTGAGAATTTCAAAGAACTGTTGATAACTTCAGGATAGCTCTGAGAACTTCAAAAACGTCCAGAACTACGGGAAAGTTTTAAGATTCCATTGGTCTCAGGGCCTCGCTTAGCTCAGTCGGTTAAGGCGCAACTACAAAGCAAGACCATGTTGGAGGTGGCTGGGTTCGATTCCCGGTCCGGTCTAGGAATTTTTCGGGTTGGAAAATATCTCGACTTCTCTGGGCATAGAGTTATGATTGTACTTGCAACAGGAAGGGGAAATTCTCCTCTACCCGATTGTGGTTTAGGTTTGCGATTGAAGGTTTCGGTTCGCGAGAAAATGGCCTTACAAGGTTTGTTTACAAAATGGATTTAAGGCCATTTCAATTGTTGGTCTTGAATTTACAAAAATCTGTTCGATCAACAGTTGATGCCGGCGAATCGAAAAATTCACCAGGAATACGTAAGCCTTGACTTGACAAATCCTTTCTGTATGAAACACGCAGTCCAAGCAATATCATCGGAAGCTCGATGTACCAATCCTTCGGGTTGACTTGCTTTCAACGTCCTTTGGAACCTTTCCACAATTCTATTCGCTTGTGGATGGTATGCAGTAGTCCGAATATGATGAACCCCTAACATTTGGGTCAGTTCGTTGAATAATTCCGACTCAAATTGACGTCCTTGGTCTGTTGTTATATTTTCAGGAACACCAAACCTTGAAATCCACGTCGAGTACTGCTTCTGGCCAGCGTGAAAAACGATCGATCATCGTGAGAAGATAGCGATGTCCTTGTGATGGTGACAGAGGTCCAACAAGGTCGATATGAACGTGCCTAAATCGAGCCTTTGGACGATCAAATTCACCCGGAGGAGACGTAATAAGACGATGCGCCTTCGAACGTTGACAGTTTAAACAGTTCTTGATAAATCTATTGATATCAGCATTCATGGAGGGCCACACGAAACGCTCTGCTATGAGTTTTTTTGAAGCCCGAGAACCGGGATGCGCTAGTCCATGAAAGTGCGTCATGACATTTACTCGATGTGGCTTGGGAATATACGGACGAGGATGGCTGGTGAGAACTTTCCGCTTACAACGACCGCTGAAGCCTGGACGCTTGCTGTATCTACCATTTTATCTGCCATTTCCGCAAGCTTGGCCAGTGTTCCGTCGTGACAAGGACGAATGTTCGCAGGCAAACGCTGGATAAACAACATCTTCAACAAATTGTCGTCAACTCCCAAACCAACCGGAAGTTCCTGTATTTTTGACAGCAGATGCGTACGACGTAGATCCTCTAGATCGTGCGTTCCGATGGGTTTTTACGGCATTGTATTTATTTTCGGTGGGCGGCGTTGCAACAAGATTGGCAATGTGACAAATGACAGACTGGTCAACTTTTGCCACAATATGATGAAATTCCGTCTCGTCGATGGTAATCTTGGCAAGTGCGAATTGCGATTCAGCTTGCGCAAACCACATGACCGGGTCCGTCTTCCAGAAGTCCGATTATTTTACACCTACTGCTTGATTGTTGGGCTCCAGGTTAGCCATGTTGAGGTTAGTTTCATACGATTTTCCGAAAAACGGGTCTTTGTGATCGAAACGGGTATACGGACCGAATTCGCGACGTCGCGGGTCACCAATGTGGTGTTTCGAACCGATTTCAATGATCGAAGACGTTTATTACGGATAATATCAAACTCTTTATTCTTGGCAAATTACAAACTCGGCGTTACAAGAATAATTCTTCTTTTTCTTTCCCCTCCTTCTCACCGTCCTTTCTCTCTCTTCGCGCACAGCTCTGTCAACGGCTGCAAATTCCAGGGTGGTTTCCATTTCATCAGTTGCATCCCACACTTCCTTTTGTTTTCAAATCTGAGATTTTGGAAAATTGTTTGACATCTTGAATGTTTACCTTCAATGTAGAATCTTGAAAAACGATCGAATTTTTCTGCGAGATCCACCACTCGATGTCCAGTAACTCGATATCGAATGATAGAACCATAGTAAAAATGTGATAAGTGAATTTCATGGCTACTGCGAAGGTGATTACCTATGGGATTGATGTTCTGTAACTCGATGCTCCCTTCAAAATCGAGTCGTAGAAAGTTCAATGTATGTTAGAAGTTTCTAGACATATACAAGAGCACCCTTTTACCGATTCAGAGCAAGACTAATAATAACATAATAGCCGAACAATCGACACAATAGGTGCTTATTGTAAAAAATAGCAATCAAACTGTATCGCTCCAAAGGAGCCACACGCAAACAATTTCATTCTCAGATCGAAAATTGAAAGAGCATCCACCACTCTGCATCTACTTTACTAAATTTAGCATCATCAACAACATTGTTTACGTTGTCCATCGTGGCGGTGCTTCTGCTGGTGCGTCGAGCGCGTGACTTTTGCACGTCACCTTTCGTCTTGTTTCCATCCCTCTCCACGGTGCAAATCACATGTCAAGTCAGCTTATATTCATCACCACCGCCTCCTCTGTGACTGCAAATAATTGACCAAATATGCATGCGGGCGCCTCCCCTCTCCAGCCAGTCGTCCTGCCCAGTGCCGGAGGGGTGCCGGCCTGAGATTAAATTATCTTTTTGCCATTTTTCGCAAAACAGCAGCAGCAACGAAGAGAACCCCTCGCGCACACACAATATACGAACGGTTGTTATCTTTTGTTATTGGTAATTCGATAGTGTCGTCGGTTTGTCGCTGACGGCAAACCGACTTTGTGCTGCTGCTGCTGGTGGTGGTGGCCATGTGACACCACCAGCCGATCCAAAGGCGGTGTGGCAAAAATACACCTCTCGGATCTTTTCTTCTGGAAGGGCTCACGTTTGTTTACATCCAATAGAAAATGCTACTGCATTGCTTACTTCTTGCTGCGTGTAGCCAAAACATGATTAGATAAGAAACTGCGAATTTCGCAATCTACAGCAATGGATTTTACTAAACTATAAACGATCCAAGATGCAATTTTAAAACGCCACCTACCTTGGAAGGAATTGAGACTGCTTCGGTTGTCCGTCCGTTTATCCGTGGCTTGTTAGTAGATACAAAGCAGGGAAGGTGAAACCTTCGAGCTATGCGGCTGTGCACGTATTATTCCTCTGCAGCAGATGATCAATAACACACCGCAGAGCAGTGCGTGTATCGATGTGTGTGTGTGTGCACGAAACGCAATCGGACAAAGCAGTAGAACCCTCCCGGAATGGAATCCGGAAAGTTTCCGGACAGAATCCTAGAACTGTTTCCTCTCGATACTCGATTACTGCTTCCTTCTGAACACTCACTCACTCTATTAATGCTGCAGGAATTCCCATCTTCCTTCTTCTTCAACTGACACTAAATCACTATTTCTTTATACAAAACGAACACGGAAAACGTGAATCAATTCGACATTTTTCAGGCTGCTGTAGAGCTAAAGAAGAAAAAAACCGTTTCGTCATCCAAAAATTTTGCTTCCGAAAATGGAGAAAAGAGTGACACATACAACACTACACTGTTCCACTCGTCGACAGCAGCAGCAGGCCAATCGATAAACTATTTTTCCGCAACAACAATCTGACAGCAAGGATTTTCTCCTCCCTAATCATCGGGCATGGAATCTGTCACTCTTCTTCGCCATCGATTATTTTCATTTGCAACCAATTTCAGCACAAACTTTCCACTTTTTTTCCTGCAGCCACTGCTGTTGGCGTTTTCTGGCTGCTGCTGCCCTCTCCAACAGTAGGTAATCGTTATTACAGATTTTTCAAGTTCACACACCCGTCGTGGCCTACAACGGAACAAAAAAAAAATGAGCAATGGATGATCCGAAGAAAATCCCCTCCTACACGGAGGCTTTTTTTAACCATCCAGACCGGAACAATTCCGCCGCAAATTCATACGCACCAAGCAGTCCACAGCGATCCGCGCCGTTTACGTCTGGTTCTGGACAGGAATGTTCACCAAATTGTGCCCGAAAAAAAAAACTAGCAAATTTTCACGATCCTTTGCGCTAGCGAACAAAAACTACCTTCATCGATGTACACCAATATTCCGATTCAATTTCAGTGAAGAGTATAGTTCGAGTGTGTTGTAGTCAGAGAAAATTTTGACGTTTTGATTATTTTCGTCGTCGTCGTCGTCTGTCTGGCAGGCTGCTCGCTCACGCACACAGCTGTTCATCACTGCTGCCTGTTTGATGGAAATCGCGATGCGAAACGAGCAGGCGATCGGCAGAGTGGATGGGTAGATTGGAAGAAAAATGCCTTCTTGCACAAATACAGGTGCACGTCGGCACAGTGGGAAATGGTTGTTGGTTATTCAACTGCCAAATCAGTGATCGAAATTGTTTTACGTCGGAAAGGTCAATTTTAGAACTTGGGTGTCTTCGAGGAAGTTTCTTGAGGAAACACCTCCTGCTTGTGGAAGTGTCTCTTATGTGATTAATCCTCCTAAAGGTGATGCACATTTTGTTTTTCGCATAAGTGAAGATAGACTAATGGTTTCTTCAACAAAGTTGTAGAAGAAATCATTGGGGATTATTCCGAGAGTCGAAGTGTTTTTTGTCACTAGTAAAGTGAGAAAAGTCACGACGTGGTGACGTGACTCTCTGAGCAAATCAAACGGACGTTCACGTCACCACGACGTGATCTTTCTCACCTCACTAGTGACAAAAGTCACTTCGACTCTCAGAATAACCCCCATTACAAGCAATTGCATGATATATAGAGCTATGGTGTGTTCAGTAATGTTAACTATCCTCATCTATATAGGATGTTTTTATGATCGATCCCGTAAATCAGTTTTTCTATTGTAACATTGTCTAGTTATTTCAGGATTGTTTTTTACATTCTACAAAGTTGTTTACTTTTATAAAATTACGTAATTCTCGATTACTTTTTCGAAGGGACGTATCAGCTTTTGTAAACAATGCATTTGATCGTAGATTTGACGTAACTGGTAGCTCGCCCACTCACAACAAACATCGTAGTGAGGAAATGGCTCTAATGTTGACCTATGGATCTAAGATTGAACCCATCGCTAAAAATCTGGTACTAATGATTAATTTGTTTTTCTTTTAACTAGTTCGTTTATTTGGAAGGCTCAATCGCGTTAGCTTTAAGGAGCCGATAATTCATTGTTCTTCGTTTGTAACAAAATTCTCTTAATTATGTCTAGTAGGAGTTGGGCCGAATACTCGCGGCTTACTCGAAGTTACATTGTCGAAGGATAGGGTCAGGGGAGGAGCTTGGGGACAAGGTTTCGTTGCCTCATCAGAGCGTTGTCGCCAGTATGAACGGTAGTGCGGTTCTATTTCGTCTGGAGTTCGACCGGTTATGGGTGACGATGAGACTCATCGAGACGGGGGGACAAGACAAACAAAAACTATTAAAGAGAGACAACAGGCAAAGGAATTAAATTCTTATATTAGACATTTGAAGAAACACATAAACTAACTGCCTATAGCAGATATCGCAAGTCTCTGATAGGAACATATATGGTTGTCTTCCTTGGGCCTCAAGGGTATTCAAAAGCCGCTCTCTGGCGGCGTCATTATCCGTACATTGCCAAACTGCGTGTTCGATGTCATCGTAACCGTTTCCACACCGACAGATGTTGCTGTCCACGAAGTTTATTCTATTGAGATGAGCATCTAGCGAGTAGTGGTTGGACATAAGTCTACTCATCACGCGAATGAAGTCACGACTTAAGTCCAAGCCTTTAAACCACGCTCTCGAAGAAACATTAGGAATAATTGAATGTAATCACCGTCCAAGATTTCCATTGTCCCAATCGGTTTGCCAACTCGAAAGGGTACTCTGACGTACTTAATGGTAAAATTCATCGTGTGAAATTTGCCTGTCATAAAATTCAAATCATAAAAATATCTGTTCACGCAATTGAAGTGTTGGTACTTTTCAGTTAAAATACGCGGGATAATAATAGGTCGAAGTTGATCGGGAATCCCATGAGTTGCTTGTTTCATGATCAGATCATATTCAACTGCGATTGGTGAAGTGAGCACGGTTTGGAGTGTAACAAGGAAGACACATATCTGACGATATGTAGTGGTGGTAGATACATCGAGATTGTGTGTTCAGCCCAAGAATTTCTTCAAAATTTTCAATTATAATTGTGTTCGTCACTCCGCATTTGATTAGTATTCTAAGAGAGAGCTCCCAGAAACGGTTCTGGAGGGGTGTTACTCCTACCAGAACCTCGAGACTCATGTTATGCGTTGAGTGCATACAGCCAAGAGCAATACGCAGACAACGATATTGAATTCGTTCCAATTTTATTAGGTGACATTTTCTTGCCGAGAGAAAGCAGAAAGAGCCGTACTCTAGAACAGAGAGAATAGTTGTTTTATAAAGCGTTATGAGGTCTCCCGGATGAGCACCCCACCATGTGCCGCAAATTCAACGGAGAAAGTTGATCCTCTGTTGACATTTTTGCTTTAAATACGTAATATGGGTATTCCAAGTGCACTTTGAATCAAACCAGACCCCAAGGTACTTGAAAGACAATGATTGGGAAATGTTTCTGCCCGATAGATTAAGCTGCATTTGGGCTGGGTACCGCTTTCGAGTAAACACTACCAGTTCAGTTTTCTGCGGCGAGAATTCGATCCCTAGATTCCTAACCCAAGACGAAAAGTTATCTAAGTAACATTGCAATGGTCCTTGCAAATCCACGGCATGTGGACTGCTAATTCTGGAAGTTTTCAGTTGCCCAAGGGAAAGGTTCATTTGCTATACTGACAACAAATTGCACAAGAAATTATATGAAATTCCAGAAAGTCCACATCTGTGCAGATTGTCTGACAGGATTTCAATGGAAACTGAATCAAAAACCCCCTTAATGTCCAAGAATACTGAAGCCAATTGCTCCTTGTGTGCAAAGGCCAGTTGAATATCTGTGGAAAGCAGCGCTAGACAATCGTTTGTTCCTTTGCTCTTGCGGAACCCAAACTGTGTATTTGATAGCAAGTTATTTGTTTCAACCCACTGATCGAGTCTCCGAAGGATCATTTTCTTCAACAATTTCCTAATGCACGAAAGCAGCGCAATCGGACGGTATGAGTTATGGTCAGACACTGGTTTGCCAGGTTTTCGAATGACTATTACTTTGACCTGTGGCCGATCGTTCTAAAGCAGGTCGAAGTGTATCAATCAAGGTGTCAATATCCCACGAGTTTGGCAACTCTGAAATTATACTTTTGTGATTGTGTTTACATTTTCCATGGTTTATGGTTCATGTCAAACATTAAGTTTTATTTTCATAAGAACGAGATCGGAGTGGGCGGTAATTGAGGAATTGGAACAATCCAACCTATACGATCCATCCACAAGTAAAGTGTGCAGAAGCGAGGGTTTAGCCTGATCGCTGGAGGACGATATTTCCACCAGCTGCCAGTAAAATGATCCCCGACCAAATCAATCCCAGAATTCGAACGGGCGAAAGTTCAATCCCACCCTAGAAACAACATTCTCGAAACAGATCATCTGATCGGCTCAGACGTGACCTAGAAGACATCACCCAAGCTGATTATGATGTCTCCTACCACCACTCAATTACACACACGTTCAAACCTACCAAGTTCACGATCCTTTGCAGTTGTGGTACGTTCCACAAAGTACCACCAATCAAAACCCCAGTGAAAACCATCAAATGTCCCTCCACTTTCATATCTGTCATACTTCGGAAATGGTGCGCGATTCAGATAAGCTTCGTATCTGCAGTTCAACTGCAGGCCAGAGCTGGTAAATATCACGGTCATCATGTGAGGATTAGAAAACAGATCCTCTCACTATCACGAGACGAAACTAGCTATCATTAGCTCTCTTGTCATTTTTCAATGATCAAGCACTCATGATAATAATTCTTATGCGGTTTTGACATCAACATTTCTAACTTATTTAGATGAATTTAAGTAAACAACCGTATGTAATCGGTAGAGTGAATATGTTATTAAGATTTCCTCGGTACAAGTAACTTTAATAGCATTAAATGCGCTAGTAATTACGATGATCACAACACTGTCACGTTCTGTCATGACGAACCTTTGACCTTTACCAGCCCTGGTTGTTGTTCATCTGCACGACCATGGGATCTTGCCCAACAGTAAAATTATTTAGTGTCGTCATGCGAGACCTACTGACCCCACCGAAACCTCTCCTGCCGCGAATCAAACGTTGGAGATTGAGCAAGGCTTATAATTGACTGATTGGTAGGCCACCCTTCGCCCGGGTCCTTTCGAGACGAACTAGTGCAACAGAAGAGTGCAGATCGGATCGTTGATGATGAGGTGTACTCACGAAATATAATGTTATTGCATTTCTGATTGCATTGATCTGTTCCTATAAATCCTATGCTGTTTCGCTAAGGCAATCGTACATCAGTCCAGATCTTATGGAATATTTGGGGTTAATACGTATCGACGTCTCCCAACAGTACTGGTACTTGAATGGACATCCCTTTCCCTTCGAAGTCCATATCAATTGAAACCAATGATTTGCAAGAATACCCTTGGACCGGGATTCAAACTTGGGCCGAAATGCACAACCCATCACGCACACTCCCTATGTTTTTTTTTATCGTTTGTTCTGCATAACATTGCATTCCGCACCGTACCGTCGTATTGGCCGATCTTACGGGTATTTGACCCGTGGAGGGAACCCATTTTGGCCGTCTTGACTGTCGCATCGACCCTCTTGACCGACCATGGTGTGGAAGAACTCTGTTGGCGTG